TAATGGGACAATTGGCTTCTCAGCCGTTCCATGGCCAGGTGTGTGTTATTTCCTCATTATCCCAATTACAATGAGCAGATAAAAGGTCCAGAGTTCATTTCAAGTGTGCTATTTGCATTTGTAATCTGTTGCTGTCAACTCTCAAGATGAGATCCAAAGAGCTGTCACTATCAGTGAAGCAAGCCATCATTAGACTGAAAAAAACAAAACAAACCCATCAGAGAGATAGCAAAAACATTAGGCGTGGCCAAAACAACTGTTTGGAACATTCTTAAAAAGAAGGAACGCACCGGTGAGCTCAGCAACACCAAAAGACCCGGAAGACCACAGAAAACAACTGTGGTGGATGACCGACCAGAATTCTTTCCCTGGTGAAGAAAACACCCTTCACAACAGTTGGCCAGATCAAGAACACTCTCCAGGAGGTAGGTGTATGTGTGTCAAAGTCAACAATCAAGAGAAGACTTCACCAGAGTGAATACAGAGGGTTCACCACAAGATGTAAACCATTGGTGAGCCTCAAAAACAGGAAGGCCAGATTAGAGTTTGCCAAACGACATCTAAAAAAGCCTTCAAAGTTCTGGAACAACATCCTATGGACAGATGAGACCAAGATCAACTTGTACCAGAGTGATGGGAAGAGAAGAGTATGGAGAAGGAAAGGAACTGCTCATGATCCTAAGCATACCACCTCATCAGTGAAGCATGGTGGTGGTAGTGTCATGGCGTGGGTATGTATGGCTGCCAATGGAACTGGTTCTCTTGTATTTATTGATGATGTGACTGCTGACAAAAGCAGCAGGATGAATTCTGAAGTGTTTCAGGCAATATTATCCGCTCATATTCAGCCAAATGCTTCACACCTCATTGGACGCCGCTTCACAGTGCAGATGGACAATGACCCAAAGCAGACTGCAAAAGCAACCAAAGAGTTTCAAATCCATTGTGGTGGTGTATAGAGCCAAAAATGTTAGAATTGTGTCGATGTCCCAATATTTATGGACCTGACTGTATTTCATTCTGGGTGTCCGAGACCTCATCCTTGGTTGTTTCTTATATATATTTTCATAATTTTTTTCATAACAAGACCAGGGGCGGACTGACAACTCATGGGGCCCCCGGGCAATAGGGGATCATGGGGCCCCTGTGTCCTTGTCCAAACTCAAAAAAGCCTATGAAAATGGTACCAGGGGCATCTCATGGGGCCCCCTACTGACCCTGGGCCCTCAGGCAGTGTCCGAGTTTCCAAATGGTCAGTCCGCCCCTGAAAAAGACATTTTACAGTAAATACAAAAATCTATTCTTTTATTTGCCCATTTAGGGACACATGAATATAGTAATTCTTGGATATTTGGGACAACCAAACGTAATGTAATGGAGGGGAGGGCAGCAGTCACATGGAAAGTGAAATAGACTATGAGCCACTAAGAGAGAAAAACTGCCACCTGAAAGAATGGTAGACCTCAACAATAATGTGGATGACCAAACATTAAAAAAAAAAAAAAAAAAAAACAGGCGGAGCAACAACTACCTGAATAGGACAAGAAAGTTGGACTAACAGGTAAGGGGGTCAACAAACAAGAATGTTTACTAAGAAAAATGCTGACGCCTAAGATACATAACCCTTGAGCTCAGGGAAAGGAAGGTTGAACAAATAAAAGTACAGTATGTTCCAACCCAAAATCTAAGCAATGAATAGCAGGAGTATTTGAAGTAAAAACCCATATTAGACTTCAAGGAAAGGGAGATCTTTAATATGACAACCCTTTCAGAAGCAATCTAAATGGATAGAGGGAAGGAAACCTTCAATGTGAAACAAGAAAAGGTAGAATATGGAGTATCTTTAAAGGAAGAAGTAATGAGGTCCACACACCTATATAAAAAGGGAAGGCTTGGTAAAGATAAATATGTACAAGATGTACTGGGACCTCAGGATAGGAAGGGTGAAAAGAACACCTTCCAACTCAAACCTATTGTTTCTTGTGAAAAGAAAGTCCCATTTATTACTACCTATGTATAGCTTGCCACCTAGTAGTTGCTAGGTAAGGGAGTGCTGTGTATGCTGACTTTTTATTATCAAACTTACTAGATGCATGTTTTCTTGCAAGAAAGGAAAAATGGTTGCGCTTATGATCAGAACCCTTACTCTTTAAAGGTGGGGAAAATCAGATGCAGGGATCTGGAAGCAAGACTTTGAGCCTTGGATTGAAATGCTGTGGACATTAATGACACCAGCAACACTGTCTAGTGTAAGGAGGCAGGTACCAGTCAGTTAGGCTCCATGCACACTGGGCTTGAAACAAATTCCTTAGCAGAAAAAAAAAACAAAAACGTTCATACAGAGCTTTTTCTACAATGTTTACATGCGTTTAGCGGTTTTTTCTGCTAGAAAATGCCACCAAAAACTCAAACCAAAAAGGTTTTTTTCCCTGCCTCTAGATGTTGAGCTTAAAATATGCATCTAATCCTCCTAAAGTGTACAGACACATAGGATAACATTGAACTGCTTCTACAGGCATAACACACTCTTGTAGAAGCCAAGAAAAAAAGTAATAAAGCGAGCGCTTCTAAAATATGGTCAAAAAGCAGCTTGCATAAGGAAAACCCCTAAAATCCTAAAACATATATATATATATATATATATATGTATATATATATATAATCAAGATGCAGCGCTCAAATAAATAATATAATGAGAAAGTGATAATAAGCGTGCACAATTATGCGCTAGCAAGTGGAATAAATGTGATGTCTTAATAAAGACGGTAAGTATTATAATAAAGTGACATCATTATATAGTCTCATGATAACACATTAAATTGCATCAAAGTGATATATAAAAGTCCATTGAAATATTCAAAAGGTGCGTCAGTATTCCCAAGTATGGAAGGTATCAATCATTCCCATTAAACTTGCATCAATGGTAATAAAGTGCTCGTGACTTCCGGATTATGGAAAAAGGGGTGTGCTTGCCCTCACCGGATGTACAGTAATATTACGCATGTAATATAAAGCGCACCAGTAGTCATCTGGAACCTGATGGGGATATGGAACTCTGATGGGGCTTGGTATACCCAGGGAAAGAACTTCAGACCTCTCAGTGGACCTCCTCAGTTAGTGGGAGCTGCTCGTTGGTATTATTTACACACGGCATCAGGTAAGCTCAGTATCAATAGGAAATCCACCTTAACCTTGATTTAATGGATAGTTTTCAAGACAGCTTCAAAAATGCTGCAAGACTGTCTCAGTTATGCGGGCCATAGATGGGATGAAAAAAGGCCGAAAATCTGCCGGAAAAAAAAAATCAGCCGATTTTCGGATCGTTAGTGCTGTAATCGGTCGGCTGTTTTTAGTGATTTTTGACCTTTTGGATTATCGGCCCTTCTGGAAAATAATCGGCCAAATTTGTCGTTCTGCCGATTTTCGCGGCAATGATGGACAAATCTGCCGATCTGTTTCTGATTTTAAAAAATGCGCATGAGCAGTGACATGAAAGAAGAAGGAAAAGAAGAAAAGGAAAAAAAGAGAATATGAATGAGAAGAAAAAATAGAATATAAATAAAAAGAAGAAATAGAATATGAATAAGAAGAAGAATAAGAAGAAATAGAATATGAAGAAGATGAAGAAATAGAATATGAAGAAGAAGAAGAAAAAGAAGAAATAGAATATGAAGAAGAAGAAGAAACAGAAAAAATAGAATATGAATAAGAAGAAGAAATAGAATATGAAGAAAAGAAGAAATAGAATATGAAGAAGAAAAAAAAAGAATTTCAGTCCGATATTATATTTGACATTTAAAAGTATAGCAACATTGTATCTATTTGTATCCGAAATGGATACAAATAGATACTATGTTGCAACTTTTTTCTTCTTCATATTCTATTTCTTCTTCATATTCTATTTCTTGTTTTTATTCATATTCTATTTCTTTTCTTCTGCATATTCTATATAATTGCCGGCCATAGACGGGACGAAAATCAGCCGACTTTTTTTTTACCAATGGTGGTATCGTCGGCTGATTGAACGACCGATTTTTTCGTTTTTCTAAAAGAAAAACGGCCGGTTTTCTCCCCGTCTATGGCCTGCATAGTTCTAGATTCTCAGGAACACGTCTGCTTTTTTTCTGCTCTTATTGATTCATCACACTGTGTGATGAATGTATGTACGTACATGTGTCTGTGTATGTATGTACATGTGTTTGTGTATGTATGTACATGTGTCTGTGTATGTATTTCTGTGTATGTACATGTGTCTGTGTGTATTTCTGTGTATGTACATGTGTCTGTGTGTGTGTATTTCTGTGTATGTACATGTGTCTGTGTGTGTGTATTTCTGTGTATGTACATGCATCTGCCCAACGGACAAAATTCAAAACAGTAACAATAATGTATAAAGCCATTTATAACTCTGCCCCAAATTACATCACCGATCTTGTCTCTAAATATCACCCAAACCGTCCTCTTCTCTCCTTGCAAGACCTCCTACTCTCTAGCTCCCTTATCTCCTCCTCCTCCCATGCTCGTCTCCAGGACTTCTCCAGAGCTTCTCCCATCCTCTGGAACTCTCTACCCCAATTTATTAGACTATCGCCTACTCTGCTCACTTTTAGGCGATCTCTGAAAACCTATCTCTTCAGGGAAGCCTATCCAGCTAATACTGGAATCTTCTACTCTTCCAACCAGTCCATCCCCCACAGTTACTACCTTTTGTACCACTAGCCCCTCCCAACTAGATTGTAAGCTCCAAGGAGCAGGGCCCTCCTACCCCTCTTGTATTGAACTGTATTGTTACTGTATTGTCTTCCGTTATATTGTAAAGCACTGAGCAAACTGTTGGCTCTATATTAATCTTGTATAATAATAATATAATAATAATAATAATGTATCTGTGTGTACGCATGCCTGTACGTGCCTGTGTGTGTATACATGTGTCTGTATGTGTGTGTGTGTGTACATGTATCTCTGTGCTTGTGTGCACATGTTTCTGTGTGTGTATGTACCAGGGGCGGACTGACAACTCATGGGGCCCCCGGGCAATAGGGGATCATGGGGCCCCTGTGTCCTTGCCCAAACTAAAAAAAGCCTATGAAAAAGGTACCAGGGGCATCTCATGGGGCCCCCTACTGACCCCGGGCCCTCGGGCAGTGCCCGAGTTTCCAAATGGTCAGTCTGCCCCTGGTAATGTACATGTCTTGGTGTGTCTCTGTTTGTGTGTGTTTGTTGGTGGCGAGTTACTCTTAAGGGCTGGCTAGTAGCTCAGGACTTGAAATTTTAAGCCCTGCTTTAACACACACAGCAGTTTTGTTTTGTTCCCCCATTAGTCTCTTTAGATATGGAAGATATGAAATTCCTTTAGTCTTCCAAATGATGGAATCCCTGACATAGATTGAGGTCAGATCACAGCACAATCACCACTGCTAACAATGGTCAAATTCATAAGGCAAAGTCATCATATTTGATACTTATTGTGAAAAAAAGGTTAATGGCCAACTCAGGAAAAAAAAAATTCTGCCTTTTAGATCGGCTACACCCACACTGCAAGGATTAATTACTCGTTTAGGTAATTTTTTTTTTACTACCGGATCCCAGGTAAACAGCATTCCCCCTCTGGACTGTCCCTCAGAATCCTCACATCCAATGCAGGGCTATGGATCCTGCATCAATCTTGATAATGTCAGGACCTTAAACCATTGGAGATGGCGAAATTTTACAGGCCGTGTATTGCCGCCTCACCACCTGCTTTAACCTACACTAGTGCACTGCAATCATGTGCTTTGTACACGTTTGCAGTGCACTTGCAGAATAACACTATACACTTGAATTAGCCGCAATCGGCGGGCACTACGTTGCCAAAAAGTGAAAGGGGGTATAATTCCTGCTGCTGCATGTGTACACCCCTGGCTGCTGATAAATGGGAAAAGGAGACAGCTGTTGGGGAGGCACAAAAAGTGCAGCTCAACCTCAAGGTTTTACTTCCCCCCCCCACCCAATCACTAGTGTTAACGAGCCCTACCTACTACATTTTTTGCCTAGCTTGGTCTGTTAATGTAAGGTGAAAAAATAACAAATAACAGACTTACAAGCTGGATCACCAAGTAAAAATACAGGAAAAAAAAAGCCTAAAAAAATAAAATGAATGCAGCTACCACATCAAAGAATTGGGTTTTAAGCATACTTAAATAAAAAAAGTAACAATTAGGTTAAACTGTATTGATCATCACATTTAGTCATTTTTAATCCTACCTTATCCAGATCTTCTTGAACAGCAGCATGGGAGTCTTTCTCACTGGAAACGGTGGTCTCTTTATCCGCCACAAAAGTTATAACCAATGGATGTGGCCTATAACCTTGATCAAGATCGGATGCGTCAAATGATCTGCAACATAAAACAGCAGTTAGCAGTGGTGCTTTTAAAAACTTTAGCTTCCCCTTATGCTACAATCCACATTTCAGTTTAAAGCTGAACTCCAGGCAAATAGCTTGATACACAAATGAAATACAGTTTCAAGAAAAAGTATGTGAACCCCTTGGGATTATGTGGAGTTTTGCATGAATTGGGCATAAAATGTGCTCTGAACGTCATCTAAGTCACAACAATAGAAGAACACAGTCTGCTGAACATAATACTACACAAACATTAGATGTTGCCATGGTTTAATTGCACATAACATGTAAACATTCACAGTGCAGGGGAGGAAAAAGTATGTGAGGCCCTAGCGTAATGACTTCTCCCAGAGCTAATTGGACCCAGGAGTGAGCCAACCTTGACTCCAATCAGTGTGATGATATTGGATGTGTTGCTGACAGCTGTCCTACCCTTAAAAAACACACACCTGTTTTGGGTTTACTGGTTTCAAGAACCACTGTCTGATGTGAACCATGCCTCGCAGAAAAGAGCTCTCAGAAGACCTACGATCAAGAATTGTTGACTTGCATGAAGCTGGAAAGGGTTACAAAAGTATCTCCAAAAGCCTTGATGTTCATGTGTCCACGGTAAGACAGACTGTCTACAAATGGAGAAAGTTTAGCACTGTTGCTACTCTCTCTAGGCGTGGTCATCCTGTAAAAATGACTGCAAGAGCACAGCGCAGAATGCTGCATGAGGTAAAGAAGAATCCCAGAGTGTCAGCTAAAGACCTACAGAAATCTCTGGCACATGCTAACATTTTTGTTGACACATCTAGAATAAGGAAAACATTAAACAAGAACGGAGTACATGGGAGGACACCACGGAGGAAGCCATTGCTGTCCAAAAAGAATATTGCAGCAGGTTTGAAGTTTGCAAAAGAGCACCTGGATGTTCCACAGCACTACTGGCAAAATATACTGTGGACAGATGAAACCAAGATTGAGTTGTTTGGGAAGAACACACAACACTATGTGTGGAGAAAAAAAGGCACAGCACACCAACATCATGGTTTGGGGCTGCTTTGCTGCCTCAGGGCCTGGACGGATTGTTGTCATTGATGGGAAAATGAATTCCAGAGTTTATCAAGACATTTTGCAGGAAAACGTACGACCATCTGTCCGCCAACTGAAGCTCCACAGAGGATGGGTGATGCAACAGGACAATGACCCAAAGCATACAAGTAATTCAACAAAACAATGGCTGCAACAGCACAGAATGCGCCTTCTGGAGTGGCCCAGTCAGAGTCCTGACCTCAACCCGATTGAAATGCTGTGGAATGACCTTAAGAGAGCGATTCACACCAGACATTCAGACCTGCACAACGAATAGTAATTTTGGACCACTCACTGAAAACATTTCAGTGTAGCAATATTCTTGAAGAGTCTGGTGTGAATCGCTCCAAGGTCATTACTCCAGATTTCAATCGGGTTGAGGTCAGGTCTGACTGCAACTACAGGCGTAATGTGCTTTGCAGCCATTGTTTTGTTGAATTATTGCTGCCAAAGGTCAGGTCCTGTTGCATCACCCATTAAGTCGGACAATGGTTCTCATACGTTTTTCTGCAAAATGTCTCCCTGCAAACTCTATAATTCATGTTTACATGTTAATCCGTGCAAAAGCAAAACCATGGCTCCCTCCGCCAATGTTTGTGTAGTATTTGATGTTCAGCAGTGCCTGTGTTTCTCCACACATTGTTTGTGTGTTCTTAAACAACTCAATCTTGGTTTCAGAGCCACAGTATTATTCCCAGTAGTCTGTGCAAATCTTCACGCTCTTTTGCAAACTTCAAGGGTGCTGCACATATTCTTTTTTGGACAGCAATGGCTGTACCTCCGTGCGTGTCCTCCCATGTACTCCCTTTTTAATGTTTTCCTTATTGTAATGTTGTCAACATATTATGTTAGCACCAGAGATTTGAGGGTCTAAGCTGTACATCTGGATAAGTGTGCACTATTTTTACCCTAGGGGAGAGTTCACACCTAAGCAGGAATCTGCGCTTCTTCTTTGCAGCGTTTTGCAGAAACGTGGACACATGAACATCAAGGCTTTTGGAGATACTTTTGTAACCCTTTCCAGCTTCATGCATCAGCAATTCTTGATGGGTCTTCTGAGAGCTTTTTCTGCGAGGCATGGTTCACATCAGCAGTGGTTTTGAAACCAGTAAACCCAAAACAGGTGCGTTTTTTTAAGGAAAAGGACAGAGACTTTTTTTTAACACATCCAAATCACACACTGATTGGAGTTTTGGTTGGCTCATAGCTCCAATGGGAATGCTCTGCAGAAAAGTCATTAAGCTGGGCCTTACTTTTTCCCCCCTGCACTGTGAATTGCATTTAAATGTGCCTAGTGCAAGAAAAAAACCATGGCAAATCTGAAAATGTATAAAAGCAGACGTGTTCAAAATTGTTGTGACTTAGATGACAATGCAGAGCATGCATTTTATGCCCACGCATGCATAACTCCACGTAAACCTATGGTACAGTGAGGTTTTTCTTGCAACTACTACCTTAATCAGCCACAGAACCTGTGATTAAAGTGGAGATCCACCAAAAAGGGGAAGTTCTGCTTTAAGGACTGCTCCCCCGCTCCCCATTAAGAATTGGCACCTTTGGGGGGTGGAGAGCGGGTACCTGAATTTGACAGGTACCCGCTCTCCAATTCCAGTCCGATCCCCTAGGTCAGTGGTTCTCAACCTTCCTAATGCCGCGACCCTTTAATACAGTTCCTCATGTTGTGGTGACCCCCAACCATAAAATTATTTACCCAGTAATAACAATTCATGAAGTGTCGTTTTACCTCCAATACTGCTTTTCTACACAGTAGCTTTTCTACACAGTAGCTGCTTATTACACATCGGAAATATGTGTTTTCCCGATGGTCTTAGGCGACCCCTGTGAAAGGGTCATTCGACCCCCAAAGGGGTCGCGACCCACAGGTTGAGAACCACTGCCCTAGGTGATCGGAAACGGAACTTGTCCTCCCTCCAGTCTTTTGGGACACATGACAGGTCCCAGAAGACTACAGGACCATTCATGAAGCACAGCACTACTTGCTCATGTGCAGTGGGTACCCGGCTGTGAAGCCGCAAGCTGCCCACACTAAAGATGTCAGCCTCCTGGAATACAGGGCGGCCGGTGAAACAGGCTGCGGGGGACACACCACGGGATTTTTAAAATTCAGCAACTACCGTTTTTGTAGCTGCTGACTTTTATTTTTTGACAGCTGAGTGGAACTCCGCTTTAATATATGTTCAGTTTTAAAGGGATGAGGTGGCAACCCTATTGAGAGCTATTTTACCTGCCAAAGAATTTGTGTTTCTGTTCATCCAGTTCTGAGATTTACACAACTCTGCCACACAGCCAAACCCAGATTACCAGAGGAGGGGATTGAACTTTCTCTACTGCATTTTTTTTTTTTCATGAATGCCCTAATGCCGAAGGAGAACCTGATGAGCATCTCTCTGTCACTCTGCTCTCTTCTCATATCAGCATGTAGTAGAGTAGAGTGCAAAAGGCCAATTACAAGGTAAATTTGGGTACATAAATTGTTTGCATTTAATGACGTATAAATTATTATATAACTGCATTATTTTTTGCCTTTTATATTTGCCTGGAGTTCAGCTTTAAGCAGTGGTCTAGCTCAGGGGTGTCAAACTGGCGGCCCTCCAGCTGTTGTGAAACTACAAGTCCCATCATGCCTCTATCTTTGGGAGTCATGCTTGTAACTGTGAATCTTGCAATGCCTCATGGGACTTGTAGTTTGGCAACAGCTGGAGGGCCGCTGGTTTGACACCAAAGTATCTCTAAGCAATACCTAT